TAGTGGTTAGCATTTAAATTAACAAAAATGAATATAATCCAACCTGGATTATATTTGTCTTTATGGCAATACAATTGTAAAATAAATTATTTACTTTTTTTTCTTTCAGTGGAAGAAGGAGCCCATGAAACTCCTTAGGGTCCAGGTAAGTCATAATGCAGCCCTGGGTCCTGGGAGTCCAGAATACTGGGCTACTGAGGCAGCAGGGTTCTGGAGAACTCAAGGCCGCAGCAAATTTCTAAACAGCACAGAAATATCAATATTTTAACAATGCTGTATCTGTACCAGGGCATAGAATCCCGGTGACAGGATAGGTCAATCCTACCACTGTGGGGAATATTTTAAACAGATACAGCCTCTTTCTTACCTACTGGGCAACACTGCTTAGGTTCCTTGTAATCAAGTTGGAGTGCGTGTTAGCTTTAATACATAACTCTCTATTTAAAAGTTCCTCAGTTTTTTATCTCTGAAAGAACTGAGATATGCAACATTTTCTGGCTTAAAGCTACACATATGCCTGGAAAGATAATTCAATAGACAGCTCTATTTAGGAAAAAGGATAGTAATTCACACAGTAAAGACCAATCAATCATACGTACTCAAATGGCAGCTGCAGGGCTGGGAGGAGCCATGAATCTCCAAAATGTTCCCACTGAGGGACTGGTCATTTGACTCAGTCTTTGGTCCTACCTTTCTTTTCTACTATCTTATAGACTGACTTCAACACTCATATTTAGAATCTAGCCAACACTGTCACTTGCCATTTTTTCACCTTCTCAAGTCAATGGCTTAGATTCCATTATAACACCTCATTCCCATGACCACATCTTGGGATCTATCATTCCCGCAAATAGTTCTAAATGAGAAATATCAATAAATTCCAGTACATCCCCTTTGCTCACTACCTCTAATTTCTTTTAGCTCTCTCACTCCTTCACTATTGCCACGCTTGTTCTTTTTTTAATTCCCCAGACTCTTCAACTTCCTGAGTTTGCTAGTCCATGCCTGAACTAATTATCTTCCTTACTAATCCTGAGTGTGTTCGGTTGACTCTCCACAATTACCCTCTTCTCACTTGTCCTTTGTCTCAAAGATTCATGTACCCTACAAACATCCAGTCTTAGACCAATCTTCTGATGTAACATCTCTGTGACTTTTCCTTTATTTTGGTTCTTTGGGAGAAAGGGAAGATTTTAAGAGAAGGTATCTTTCATTGAAATTGGGTGAGTCATAATAAATACCCCCTTTAGGAAGTGGAATTCTGAAGAAGTAACTTGCAATTCTCTTTCGTTTCTCTCCTCAGAAATAACTTCATAGCTTCCTAATATTTTGGATTTATTCATTCATATGGGAAGATAATTTGCATTCCCTTAAGACTTCTTATAATCCCATCCTACTTTATGCAAATATGAATTAAGCAAATGTAAGAGACCACAATATAAAAATTTATAAAGCCTCAGTTCATGCACAAAATTTGAGATAATACAAATCAAAATATTTTAAGATTTCTTCAGAAACTGCATAATTGCAAAGGTGATAGACTGAGTGAATGGTGAGCTGTGTTTATGCAAAGGCCACATGGTGAGGTCTCTAGCAAGTAAAAAATATTCTCCTTATTTTGTCAATATTTTATGAATCATACATTTTTTAATGTGTATGGTAACTTCTAAGTCTGAGTTCAGTCACTATTCTGCTATTACTTAACCATTCACTGTCATTACAATTTAAAATATTTTATATATTCTATAACAATGGAATGCAAGCATTATTAAATGGGGGTGCTAGAAGCAGTACTGAAAATGTGCCTCAAAGTCAATTACTTTGACAAGAAACTTAGAAGTAAATGAACAAAACTCTAAATAAAGCCAAACAACTGCCATCACATGCTGCATGCTGTGCTGTTAACGTGGAAACAAGCAACATGAGAAATACTAGAAATAATGCTGAAAAAATTAAAAGAACAAATACATAACACAGTGGCTAAAGAGTTATCCATCCAAAAAATACATCCCACATTCTTTATATTTATGCTATGGGAAAATTAGTCCTTTGAATTCTGTGAGTTTTTAATTACATGTCTTGCAACTTTCTTTTTTTTAGAGATGGGGCCAAATCCCATGCATATAAGGAAATGAGCCTGAAACTCATTTTTAAATAATATATGCTTCCGTGTGGTTCTGATTATAAACCACCATGCTTGCTACACTGAAAAATGCTGAAAAGTATTATGATGAAGAAAATCAACTAAAATTTCACCATTCACTAGCCAACTTTACTAGCATTTAACAGTTTCTTCAGGCTTTTTTCCTCCATACTTTTACATAAAAGTATGGAGGAAAAATACACCTACAATTTTGTATCTTAATGATTTTTCTTGACCTTAAATAAGAAGATTTATCAAGACACTAAGAACTATCCATGGACTTTCTAAAAGGTGGAATATATAAATATATAAAATATCTCATTATGTGATTACAACCTATTTAATAGCACTGTCAGAAAGGAAAACAAAACTTTCCTTTACACTTATAGATTCTTCTGATTAGTCTAAGAATTAAACTGATAAGACAGACTAGCCAGAAAAAGTCAAATTTAATTTCATACATACAGGAACCCGACATATGTGAGAAGGTTCAAAGACAGAAAGATAAAATGAGGTATACATATCATCCTAAGCTAAGAAATGGGATAGAGGCCTGGGGCTTCCAAGAACAGGAGGGTTCACAAGACAATAAGACCAGATGTTCAGCAATTAGACATTTACCCTGCAATATAGATGCAGCTACTTAGCTAAAATTTATCTCCAGTAATACCTTTTTTTTTTCCTGAGAAAAATTCCCAATTTAAACTCTTCTAAGTAGTTAAAGGAGAAGAGTAGGTTATCTTAACCCACAGGGTCTTTGGCTCAAGAAAATCCTCATGCAGGAGTGATACACTTTTTGGAGACTCATTCTGAATCCCTAGAGTACTGTACCCAATTCTAAAACATTGGGTAATTTCCAAGTTTGCCATAATAAATAATTCAGTGATGAATATCATTGGATATAAACTTTATCCCTGGTTTGAATTATTTTTCTTGGGGAAATCCTTAGAATTATTAGATCAAATAGTATATTAATTCATATTGCAAAATTCCTTTCCAGAAAGACTAAAACAATTTACAATATTTCTGGCAATAGGAAAAAAAGTAGCCATCTCACCCCAGTGTCACTCAACAGAGTATTATTATTTTTAAAAATATCACCGATTTTACTAGCAAAAAAATTGACTGTTTTAATTCACACATTCTATTATTTGTAGACGGACTTTCCCTGTATTTGTCAGTTAACTAATAATAATTATTTCCTAATTTGTGAATTGTCTTTATATGCCCTTGGCTCATTTCCCTATGGTTTTAACAGTTTTCCTGCCAATAAATCTGAATTCTTTATGTATTAAGCATATTAATCCATAAACCATCATAGTTGCTTTTCTAACAGCTTGATTTCTATTTTTTAATAAGCAAAAATAAATAATATTATAACAGTAGTATCAGGAATCTTTTATTTCTGTAAATGGTTATGCCACTGTTTCAAAAAACTTTTGATTATTCTCAATTATTTATACTCTCAAGTAACTTTCAGGATCTTAGAGTTTTCAGATAGTAAACACAGTTCATTGGGATTTTTAATGTAATTATATTAAATTTATAAATTTAACTTATAATTAATTTAGTTTTCCAGTCCCCTAAACAGTAGTTATTTCCTTGTACTTGAGATTTCTGTTTCAGTTACCTTTGGTGTGTATTTATTTAAAAAAACAAAACACCCAAAACTTAATGCCTTCAAATAACAATTTATTATTATTTTTTCAAAATCTCTTGTGGTCTGCAGTCAGATGACAACTGAAGCTGCAGCCTACGCCCACTAGGCTGGATATCCAAGATGGTTTCATCATTCATAAGTTAAGCTCATCATTATCCCTTCTCATGGCCTCTTCCTTCAGCAGAGTAGCCTTGATTTCCTAGCCTTGGTGGCTCAAGGCTCCAGGAATTGGAAGCAGTCTTATTAAAGCTAGCCTAGATTTGGCATAGTGTTACTTTTGTCATGTTCTATTGATCAAATCTGTCACCTGACAACTGTGATTCAAAAGATAGAGGAATATTTAACTCTTGCTGAGTAAGTAGCCTGTCTACCATCTTTGGAGAGTAGCTTCCACATCTTCTTTATTGATCTTTATCTGAGAATTTTCTTCATAAAAGTACTTAAAATTTGTGTTGCTATAGTAATTTGTATGTTTTTTTCTTTTATAGCTTGCTTACTAAGCAGTTATTGCTAATATGAAGGAAAAATATTATCTTTGATGTATTTATTTTATATTCAATCACCTTACTAAACAGTCATAACTGATTCTAATTACTTATTATTTTAACATCCTGGTTCTCCTGAGAAGATAATCATACTATCTGAAAATAAAGATTTTTTTCTCCTCTTTTTCAGTAGCTAAGTCTCTTACTGATTGCACCAATTAGGACTTCTAGAACAAGACTAATAGGAAGCAGCCTTGTTTTGCTTTTGTGGTATAATGTTTTCGGTACAAGTATACTGAAGTTGTAAACTGGACATATTTTATCAGCATATATATTCCCAGGGCTAAATTAAACCACTTATTTTCATATGCTAATATAATACAAATTAATAGAAAGGTAGATTCTTATTCCAGATAAATTGAGTTTATGGAGCAGGACAATAAAGTGAAGATGAGGCAGAAAGTAACTAATATATTTTAGATACTGCAATATTTTCTCCCTGAAATCTATAAACTTGTTCCCCAAATAAATCATAACCATAAAATATTCCATTAACTCCCACAAATAGCTAATATCTCTAAATAAATATAAAACATCATAAATCTCAATAATTTGTCCTTTCTTCTCAAGCTTGACTATTTACACTATATGTAAAGAATCATATTAAGCACATAAGTATTAGAATATGGCTTTTCAGCTTGCTTATACTCACAAGTGGCTGGTATTCATATGGTGGAGCATATTCTTCAGCATATGTTGTCAATGTACACCTAAGAAAGATAAGTCAATATCTGAGAAAAGAATGACTCCAAAAGAAAAATATTTTAATTTTTTAGTAGTATGTGCTTTAAACAAAATAAAAAACATTTCAAGCAAAATTGGTCCTAATAAAACTTTTAAATTTTTAAAATTCCCAGGCCTCATTTATAGTGTTAACTATAACCAGCAAGATGCCTTCCTTCAATTACTTCCAATACCACCTACTATTCTTCTATACTAATAATATGCTACCAAGTCCCAAAGCTCAGGTGCATTCCAGACAAGGGTTCTCTTTACCACTCACTTTCTACTTTTCAAACTTTTTGACCCTATACCCCATGTTCTCTGCTAGATGGCAACTGGAAAATAATACACAACCAGGTAGTCTGAGATTACATAGTTTCTCCAACCTCCATTCCATGAAATACATAGAAATGTTGAGTGAAATACACATCCTTCTCCCGCAAGTCTATAAACACAGCCCAAGACTCAAAGCTGGAGTTTGAACTGCCTATCAAGGGCAGGAGACATGACCTTGGGTCACAGAAGGCACAGAGTTAAATTGCTACTTATAATCAGGAGTCTGTAAAGGCTGTAGCTCCATATGTGTGCGTGCTAAGTGTCCAACTCTTTGTGACCCTATAGACTGTATCCCACCAGAGCTAAACTGCTACTTCCAGTCACGAGTCTGTAAATGTTGCACCTACATATAAAAAAGACCAAAGGAACTCTAGCCATCAGACTAGGGAAACTTGCAAGAAAGTTTCTCTCTGTCTGGTATTCAGAATAGGGGAAATTTTTTTTCTCCTATGAGAAATTACTGTCCTGATTCTGTTCCTGGCAATATTATGGGATTAGATGGTCAAAGAAATTCATCCAAGAATTGGAAACCTAAAAATACCAGGAAAAAGGACATTAAAACATTTTAACACATGACTGAGCTGATGGGAGGGTACAGAACAAGTAGAAGAATTCAAAAATAACTAGGATGTCAACTAAGAATGATTACTGGGTACAGATGCTAATATTTATCTGGTGGTAACCACCAATTAATTACTGTCAGACTTTCAAGATGTGATTTCCAGAGGTGCAACATTAGCATTATCTGGGGACTTGTTAGAAATGCAAATACTTGGATGTCATGCCAAGTCCACTGAATTAGAAATTCTAGGAGTGGGCCCCACAATCTTGCTTTAACAAGTCCTGTAGGTCAGTGGTCCCCAACCTTTTGGGCACTAGGGACCTACTTCGTAGAACACAATTTTACCAGACTGGGAATGGGAGGACATGGTTTGGTGATGATTCAAGCACATTACATTTATTGTGCATTTCATTTCTATTATCATTACACCTGCTGCACTGGAGACCATCAGGCATTAGATCCTGGATGTTGGGGACCCCTGTTCTAGGTGATTCTAAAAATATGAGTATTGGCAATTAAAAGAACAAAAATTAGAAGTAACTTTCAAACCAGTAAATAGGATATTATTTAATATTTTTAAAGAACAGTCTAATAGAAAGCAGGAAAGGATAAAAAAAAAGTGAAAAAATGTTCTGCTCAGAAGACAAATTAAAATCACAAAAAACTAAACACCTTGGTAATCACAAAGAAAGTAAAGGAATTAAACCCATCAGTGAAAATATTTTCTCAGACTTAAATTGAAAATCAAGTTGTATTATATAGCCCAACTCTATGGGGTGTTTTGTTTTTTTTTTGGGGGGGGTTTGGTTTTCAAGTATAGTTGATCTATAGTATTATATTAGTTTTAGGTACAGCATAGTGATTCAGTATTCTTATAGATTATACTTCATTAACAGTTATAACAAAATAATGGCTATAATTCCCTGTGTTGTACAGTCTATACTTGTTGCTTATTTATTTTATACATAGTGGTTTTGTATATCATACTCCTATCTTCCTCCTCCTCTTTTCCTTTTCCCCGTTGGTAACCCACTAGCTTGTTTTCTATGGGTCTGTTTTGCTATATACATTTGTTTGTTTTATTATTTTTTTACATTACACATATAAGTGATAACATACAGCATTTGTCTTTTTCTGTCTGACTTTTCTCACTAGGCCTAATATTCTCTAGCATCCATGATGCTGCAAATGGCAGGATTACATGCTTTTTATGGCTGAGTAAAATATACCATTGTATCTATACACCACATCTTTATTCATCTGTTGACAGAACTTTGGTTGCTTCTGTATCCTGGCAATTGTAAACAGTGCTGCTCTGAACATTACAGTATATGTATCTTTTCAAATTAGTGTTCCTGTTTTTTTCTGGAAATATACTCAGGAGTGTGATTGCTGGATCATAAGGTAGTTCTATTTTTAGTTTTTTGAGAAAACTTTATACTGTTTTCCACAGAGTCTGTCACCAATTTACATTCCCACCAAGAGTGTGCAGGGCTTCCTTTTTTTCCACATCCTCATCCACATTTGTTATTTGTGTTCTTTTTTAACGATAGCTATTCTGATAGGTGTAAGGTGATATCTCATTTTTGTTTTGATTTGCATTTCTCAAATAATTAACAGTGCTGAGCAACTTTTCATGTGCCTCTTAGCCATCTGTGTGTCTTCCTTAGAAAAATGTCTGTTCAGGTCTTCTCCCCATTTTTTAATTGGGTTGTTTGTTTTTTGATATTGAGTTTTATGAGCTATTTATGTATTTTGGATATTAACCCCCTGTTGATCACAGCATTTGCAAATATTTTCTATTCAGTAGGTTATCTTTTCATTTTGTCAATGGTTTCATTCACCATGCAAAAGCCTCTAAGTTTTATTTATTATCCTGTTTGTTTGTTTTTGCTTTTATTTCTTTTGCTTTAGGAGACAGACCCCCAAAATCACTGCTGTGATTTATGTCAAAGAGTGTTCTGCTTATGTTTTCCTCTAGGAGCCTTATGGTATCTGGTCTCATATTCAAGTCTTCAATCCATTTATAATTTATTTTTTGAATATGGTGTTAGAGAATGTTCTAATTTCATTCTTTGACATGTAGCTGTCCAGTTTTTATGTCCAGCACTACTTATTGAAGAGAATGTCTTTTCTCCACTGTATATTCTTGCCTACTTTGTCATAGATTATTTGACCATAGATGCATGGGTTTATTTCTAGACTCTCTAGTCTGTCTCATTAATCTATGTATCTGGTTATATGCCAGTACCATGCTCTTTTGATTACTGTAACTTTTTAGTAGATTCTGAAGTCAGCAAGAATGATACCTTCAGCCTTGTTATTTTTTCTGAAGATCACGTTGGCAATCTTTTGCCACGCATTAACACACATTAGTCTTTTGTGGTTCCGTATAAATTTTAGGATTATTTGTTCTAGTTCCATGAAAACTGTCATGATTATTTTAACAGGGATTGCATTAATTTCTTGCTTTGGATAGTATGGTCATTTTAACAATATTAATTTTCTAATCCATGAACATGGGATATCTTTCCATTTTAAAATATCATCTCTAATTTCCTTTAATATTTTTAAATATCACCTTCAATTTAAATTTACAAAAATATAAATCAATGTTTTATAGTTTTCAGAGTATAGGTATTTCACCTCCTTGGTTAAATTTGTTCCTAGGTATTTTATAATTTTTTATTCAATTTTAAATGAGTCCCCTCCTTTTTTGCTTTCTCTTTCTGAAAGCTCATTATTAGTGTAAAGAAAAGCAACAGATTTCTGTATATTAATCTTGTATCTTATAACTTTACTGAATTGATTTACTAGTTCTAATAGTTTTTTGTTGGAGATTTTAGGGTTTTCTATACACAGTATCAGGGCTTCCCCGGTAGCTCAGATGGTAAAGCATCTGCCTGCAATGTGGCAGACCTGGATTTGATCCCTGGGTTGGGAAGATCCCCTGGAGAAGGAAATGGCAGCCCACTCCAGTACTCCTGCCTGGAAAATTCTGTGGATGGAGGAGCCTGGTAGGCTACAGTCCAGGGGATTGCAAAGAGTTGGACACAACTGAGCAACTTCATTGGTTCACTGGATACACAGTATCATGTCATCTGCCAATAGTAACAATTTTACTTCTTCCCTTCCACCTTGGATGCCTTTTATTCCCTTTTCTTATATGACTACTGTGGCTAGGACTTCTAATACCATGTAAATAGAAGTGGCAAGACTGGGCATACTTGTCTTGTTCCAGACTCTTGGCATATTTTGGGGCATGAGCTGTCACAATAGCCACGGTCACAATAGCGTTCTGGGCTGTCTCTGAGGCATTGCTTGAGTAAGCATTAACAATGGCCATTGTGCCTCCACTGAGAACCAAGTCACTTTTGTATGCCATGGCCAAGCTTTTTCCCTGGTCTTGGCAGTCCTAGATCTCTGTGATGTGAAGTAAGTGAGGTTAGAGCATTTGCTCAGCTCAGGCTGGGGCACATGTCAAAGTGTTTGCAGGAAACCCAGCAACCACTAGAGCAGTCTTCAATTGACCTCTGATCTGCCTCAGAATCTAGGCTTCACATAACCCTTCTATTAGTCTCAGCAGTCCTTCAGCCAGTCAAGGCGGCTCATCTCTCCTTTTCTGAGCCCTAGGACTGGGGTACCCAATGTGTGACTTGAATCATTCAGTCTCTGGGGCATGTCTCCACTCAAGCAATCTTTTTCTTCTGGGTTCCCTCCCAGGGGCACAGATCCCAGGTTGACTGCTTTTCTTTCTTCTCTACTTGATTGCATGTGGACTTTTGTTATAGTCTTGGTTGTACAGAGGTCTTTCTGCCAGTTTCCAGTTAGCTTACAGTGAGAATTTTTCCACGTGTAGATGTATTTTTTAATGTGTTCATGGTGGGGGAGGTTGAGTTCCATGTCCTCCTAACTCCACCATCTTGGTTGATCTCCTCCCCAACTCTATGCTTTTTACACCTAAAATAAAATTATTTTCAAAAAAATGTTTGAAAATAAAGGATATAAAAATATATTTCCAGCAAATATTAACAAAAAGCAAGTGTTCTATATTAATATCATATGTAATTGATATTGAATCAAAAATTA